CGGAAAAATCTTCAGAGTTGAATACTTCGGAAAAAATTCGCATCACTTCAGGAGGAAGTTACCAACATTGCAATGGTCAGAACAAAATCCCTTTACCGATGATGCGCCGCAGCATTTTAAGCAGCCTGACAGAAGCTTGCACTCTGCAATTGCATGCGTTGCAAATGCCCGATAGACAAAGACGATCTACGCAATCTACTGACAAAGCCAGTTGGAATCACATTGATAGACATTGACAGACGCATGCACTGAGGGAACCCAGTGGCAACCAAGCAGAAGTCAGAAGTCCAAATCACATGAATCTCTACAAGTTGTGTGCTGGGTGCAAGTTAGGTGTCACATGGGTTGCACACACTCCACCACACGTGCTCTTGCATCAACTTTAACAATCCATGTGAATGGAACAGGCTCTACATAGCGGTCCTTTTTTTCCCGTTCGATTGAATGCTGCATCGCCGGTTAGCCAGCAGATTCAAGGAAGTCAGACACTTGCGCTGGTGGGGATTTCCCCCTTCAAAGCCTCAACATTTTTTGGATCCAAAGTCAATCAATTTGCACTGCCAAGCGCGCCTTTTGCCATTGCACGGGCCTTCCGGTCCCTGTGTCAGCCAGGGGTGCCCAGTCAAAGTGCACCAGAACGGATTCTGCAGAATAGGTGGTTATGCACAGGGCCGTGTTGGAAAGATCGACTGAACGATTCAGTGTGAGAATCACAGCCCTGTTGTTGACAACGAGTGTGGAAGATGCACAGATTTCACATGCGCAGGGTGACGTTATCTTTTAAGCATTTTTGAGCTTTGAGCATTGCTTGGGGCATGTCTTGGGTGTGCTTCCTGCGCAAAGTGAAGCCTGACTCGGCAGCCCGACCAAATTCTTGAGAAAATTCAGCATTTGATGAGAAACCCGGTGCTGGTCCTTGATTTTGGCAAAGCATTGAGGTCTTCACGATGGGCTGCTGTATTGGTGCTAGAACTTCCCAGGCGGAGGCGGGAGACAAGGAATCCCAGTCAGGTTCGAGATATCCCAGTCTGACAGTGATGGGTTTGGCTTTACTTACGATATGGACGGACAACATGTTTTTGTTTTGATCCCGAAGCCGAAGCCTTTTAAGTCATAGAAACCATGGCCGCCTCAGAAATAGTTATTACACCCAAAAAAGTGTGAAGATATGTCAAGATATGTTTAATGAGATATTACACAGGTATAAGACTGGTTGATCTACATGCTCAAATCTATCTGGTTTCAACAAGTTCACTGGCGGTCGATTGCTTCGAGGACATGTCGCCGTTCGCAGCGAGCAACTTCGATAGCCCGACGGCTGCCCAGACAGAGGAGGCAGGAAAACGGGCAGTGAATGGCACTTTTACACGACTTCCTGCAGCGTTCAGTTGCAGCTTGGAAACGTGTCAACCACTGATGGAGTTTGCCCGTCTTCTCTCAAGTCAAATGAGTCTTTCATCAATTCCGCAGATGCCTTTCTTGCGAGGTGCAGATGGACCAGCCCTCCACATCAAGGGCGGAACGTGGAACCGATGCGAAGACCGAGGCTCAATTGCTTTGTCTGACGCTCTCGTGGTATCCAAAGATAGGATATCTATTATCTAGGTCTGTAGGTGCTGTGTCGTCCGTCACTGTTGCGGCATTGCACCGCTATGTATACCAAATCGGATTCTGCCATCCAACTGGGCCGCTTTCTAGTGGATTTCCTGTGGATGCGTTGTGAGCAAGACCTGTGTGAAAGTTCTTTTCTTGAGCAGGCTGACGTGGATCCAGGAGGGATTGAAGTGGTGGAGGCTACATCCTGAAACCATGGCCACCTCAGACATGGATATAATATAATATATATATATATATAATATATTATATATATAGTATAGCACCCAAAAAAGTGTCAGATGTACTGAGACATTAGAGACATTACACAGGTACAAATTGATTAATGATTATTCATTTATCATCATTATATATATATATATCCCTAACGCTCCCGATTGACTCCGGGACCTCATGGCTACCGGGGTGTGGCAACATATGTTTAGACCATTGGTGAGACCCCATGAGGCCCCATGACACCCCATGATAAACTGACCCCTCCTGGGGACACCCCCTTAGAAGATATAAACATGGTTCATACATAAATCTCTGTTACTATTGGGATTCTTTAAGTTCAATCTTGTAAGAACCTGCCCATTCCACCAGATTATCCGCAGCTTTGTGTTTGCTCTGTGGCCGTCGCGGTGCACACTGGGTGATCCATTGGAGTCTCGGCTGCAAAGGCAGCAAACAAACCTGGGTGTAAAGGTTTTAGACATCCTCCTGAGATCGGAGATGTAACGCAAGTAGGAGAATGTATCTTTCCAAAGACCTCAATGATAAGGAAGAACGGTGGCATTTTCTGGAGATCCGTCCCATCACACCTATGAAACTTTCACCGCACAGAAGAGTATAAAATCTTGGGTTGATCAGTGTGGTCTTTGTATCACTCAACATATGTTGGAAGTGATGGTGCTTTGTCAAAAGCCGCCAGCAAGCACGATTGGGGTCATGTGCGCCCCTGGTAGCAGCACTTTTGGAATTCAGGTCCGAGTACAGTTGTAAGTGTGTCATCCCACGGTCAAACATTTCTTGTCCTTCACTTGGGCAAAGTAAAATGTCACACTCGTCCATCATGCGGAGAACTTCACAGTAAGTCCACAAGCAATGGGCCACCTCCTTGTCCAACTGTGAACCATTAGGTCTGTTCCCCCAAGTCATTGCTTTGTCGCAAAGCCAAAAAGAGATAGTCTTGGAAGCCGCTGCCTTGGAATTGAGACTGGGATAGCTATTTCTGGTGAGCCGCCCCAGCCGACTTGGAGTAAAGCGTGGCTGTGTAACATTGATCTTTTTGTTTTTCTTCCAAGCGTTAAATTCTGCGTATGCAACGTGCAGAAACTCCTCCAATACGAGTCGATACAACCCGTTCCTCCAAGCTCCAAAAGCACCTGTCTCGATCAAGTATGTGAGCACACTCCCATTCAAAGATTTCCCTGTTCCGAGAAGTTGACTGTGCATCACGTCATGTAACACACGCTCTAGTCGAGACCCTGGAATGGAAAAGATTGGATTGAAATCACTGGGTGCTACCCCGTGCAGCTGAAAAAATGCATCATGGTCCAACTGAGTCTGCACATGTGCAGAATTCAACCGAAAGTCTCCAATAGTCATCGAAAGGTCTGGATCCTTTTTTCTGACCAAACACCGGCTGCACATGTCATTTCTGCGAAAATTGTGCATTCCAAACTTTTCAGATACGTATTTCAGATCACCTTGCGTACTGCTGTATGCGAACGTGTATCCCCTTGAAGACCATGGAAATTCTTGATTTGGATCGCACATCTTGGCAACCCGACGTGCAACATGATCCAAAATTTGTTTGTGGGTGTTCTCCGTGCAGTAGTGCTCACACACACAACATATGCAAAAATACCGACTCAAAGGTGGTTTACCATGACCAAAGTCACTGGACCATCCCATCACGCAGACCACCCCGCCCTCCGTGTTCCGAAAGGACTGTACCTCGTCCCCGTACAAGGAAAGCGGTATCAACTTTGCCCTGCGTGCAACATCTAAATTTTTGGCCGGGTGATCCCTGAACCAACTGCAGTGTTTTTCCACATGGTCCCAGTATGCTCGAGCATCAACATCTCCAAGAAAGAGACGTTTGAAGAGATCTTCACTCTTAGCAAAAACTGCCGCTGCAAATGCATCAGGAAAAATGATTGGCAACTTGCGTGTGTTCGTTCTTTGCGTCTTGGGATCGTACATCTCCACTTCACAGTGTTCAATTGGGATTGGTAGTGAAAGCCCGTGTCTCCGAATGAGTCTTTGTAGGTCCCGTTCACAATTCTGTGGCTGATTGCCATGATTCCCTATAGCAGCTATTTTTCTGATAAGTTCTCCTTCAGGCACATGACCATTAAAACGCTGGCAAAGATTGATGGATGCCTGTGCGAGCTCTTGTGCCTCATTTTGGCAAGCCCCTCGCAAAGAAATAATTATAAGCATGTGACCCATTTTATAGCACCAAACATAGAAAAAAATGAAAAAATATCTTTAATGGGAGAAGTTTGTAAAAAGAACAACCCAGATACCTTTACTGCACTCATTTTGCCAGAAGAGAAATCATTCAGAAGAATGTCTTGCAGGTTCCCTGATGTAGTTGGTGCTGTAGGCAAGGGTCTTGAACTGGAAGACCGGTCCTGGTGAGCAACGGTTTAACAATGACAATGACTTCAGAAAAACTTTAAGATTTCATCGTTATGGTGTACTTGACATTTCTAGGCTGGTGATTGTTTCTAAAAAGAAGTTTCATGAATAGAATTTGCCCATGCAGTCTACATGACCTCCCTACACGCTGCTCCTCGCGGTGGTTTGCCAGCCGAGGACACTTTGATGGTCTCACCTGGTCCGCAGTATTTCCCGATGCAGGACAAGATGGATGGGATCTGGTGTGGGTCAACAGTGACTGGGGATGGTGCTGATAAAAACATATATAACTGATATGGGTATCCGTTCATATATATAATACATATGTATATATATGCCTTCATCCACCTACCCCCCAAGAAAGGCCTGTGCGGCTAGTGCACGAGTTCTCTCATCTTGGATGCCTGCGTGGGTGAGGAATGGTACACAATAGTTGCATGTAATTGCCATATCCACACCTGTGACATATGCTATCATCATCACACGCAGCTGCATGGAATTTTCATTCTCTTTCCGCACATGATGGAATCACGTGTTCAAACACAATCAGCTAGTATTGCGACATGTGAAGTTCACACATCTAAGTTCACACATCCTCTGGATGTCAGTCAAATCCAGCGTCATGCTCGAGAGGCTGTGCCGCCGAAACAAATAGCTAGTTTTTTTAAATATGTGAATGCAATTTCATGTCATCCCAGCGTCAACTGCATGACTCCCAACCCCAGATTTGCAAGAGCAAATCAAAACACGGCAGGATGGTATCACTGCTCATCGTCGTCAACCTGGCCGAACGGTGCGGGTATGGGAGGATACAGGTGGCTGGGAAATTTGTATACATTTTCTTAAGTGAACACGTTCAGGGGGTAGTTGATAGTTGAAGAATTCTTTATATATAACCATATGTTCATTTTAAATCGATCACCTAGCAAGTGCATCATCAATGTTCCTAGCCTCAGCAGATTCCTTCTTCTTGCGTCCCCTCCCTCGAACCAAAGCATTGGCCCCGGATCTGTCTTCATCGAACATCTCTTGGCGCTGCTGTGCCAATTCAATGGCGGCCCAAAGCGTCTCAGCTGCTACAGCATCTCCCTGACAAGTTTTTGATTGCTGGTTAAGGGATAAGATCTTTAGATTCATCGCATGCATTTGGGTATCTCAAAAATCATTGGTTTTGCACAAAAGGTGCCTGGCGAACGTAGCCTTTGAGTTGCGAATAACTTTCTTCCAACTCATGTGCATGATTGGCAAGCTGAGTGCCTCAGAAACTTGTTGCCATGGATCATCAAAAAGGAATATATGTATTGTGGCATGAGGTGGTTTTGGGAAAATAAAGTCAAGTTACACAGGGCTCCTTGGTGCTTCAAATGGCCAATTTTCAGGGGAAGCAACTTCGCATCAGACAAGTCCTTTAAGACTTTGGGCATCAACCATTCAGCCGCGGCGATGGGCTCTTCAGGCATAGGCCTTGGAAAAAACACATAGGTTATATACACATAAAATGGAATTGTACATGGGGGGATAAGATGATAGTGCTATATAATATATAGATGCACATTCACCCGTTATATAATACGCAGGGAAAAACAAAAGAATCAAACATGGGTTTCATCTCCCCAAAGGATAGAATGTGATAAGGCACTTGGCTATACTTGGCTAGTACTTTTTGGGTTCACCATATGAAATTCAAGTTGTTGAGCTGGGATGCTTTTTCTTCCTCTGCTGCTTGGGTTCCCCCAATGCCTTGCCACCCACACGAGGAGCCCCAAGAACCGTTGGAGCTTCCGTGGAGCTGGAGCTGGGCAAAGGTGCGCCCGCTCGGGGCTGATTGGCCACGTTGCTTAGCAAGTCGCCCCCGGTCGTGGCAAATTGGCTGGCAGCCTCAAGCAAAAGCCGTAAAATAATGGTGTTTATTATAGATGGGATGCATGTGATATTACCATATACCCCACCCCACACAAGATGATATGAGGGTTTCCATAAATGGATGGGAAATCACCCACTTTAATGGTTTTCCCCATCATAAACTATCCATTTTGGGACGCCTCCACATCATCCACGTTAATGGGTTTTCCACATTATAAACCATACATTTTGGGGTACCCCCCTTGGAACCCCATATATTATATATGATTGGGAAATTACGTATGCGCATAATAACCCTTGCCTCTGAGTCGGGCTCCACTTCGCCCTCCGTTCGCATTTCAATCCTGTCCTCCGACTGGTCCTTGTGGGTGTAAGAGAGTTCAAGCATCACCTGGGCCAAAAGTAGGGCTACCGGACAATAATAAATATTTTCAAAAGGACATGGTTTACTTGAATCCTTATGTTAATCCGAAGTACGTAGTACAAAGTCATCCCCGGATCATTTGGCATGTCTGGATGTTCCCTGTACTCACTGGAATTGGTCTTGCTCGTGATCAGCTGCTCCACCAGAGGCCTGTTGCCATTGTAGAGCGCGAGCAACTGGTCCTTTGCGCACCAGCCTCGGGAAAAGTGGGGTCCCCAGTGGTTGGAGGGTATGCTATGGAAAAATCCTGAATGAACATGTATCATGATTCTGATGATTATTGTTGCTGAAAAGTGTCAAGTAGTAACAATAGTTTGGAATTTCAACCAAGTAACCCATTTTTTTCTTCCCCGTCTCAATTTCTGATCTTGACCGGCTCATGGACACTCGGATCCTGATTGGTCGTTGATGTTAAGCTGCAAAACATGTGCACACCTCTGGCTGACTTTGCCATGAAAAACATGACATCATGCATGCATATTTTTTTTACATATAAACTGCAGTTGTAAGTTGCAACCCAAGTATCAAACCCCAGTTTCCACCGGCTTCACACCACTTGGAAAACAAAGCATTTTTGGCAGCTCGGCTTCGGGTTCTGACTGCCTCACTCCATGCCTCTACAAATTCCACTGGGACAGAGGGTGGGGGAATGTCACTGCTGACCTGCCGCTTGAACACCATGTATTGGGCTTGGCGTTCTTTGTAGTCACCGGGCTGCAGGGCTGCTGTTCCAGGCTGAACTTGGAAGTCAGAAGCTGATGCAGCTGCAGTTGAAGACACTGGGGTGGCCTTCGGGGGTGGTGCCTTTGCTGGCGGTAACTTTGCTGGCGGTTGTGTCTTTGCAAGTGCTTTGGGTGGCGTTGCTGCTGGTGGTGGGGGAGGTGCTTTGGGGGCTTCGGACTGGGCGGATGCCTTTGGAACAGTGGCTGCTCCATTGCCTGGGGCTGCATGGCTTGTGCTCCCATTGCTGGTCGGTGCACACGTGGTCTCTTGATCCTTGGCTTGTTGGTTGTTTTGGTTCGGCAAGTGGAAGAAAGTTGTGTGAGGTGTCGGAACTATGGGCGTGGAAGTTGAAGGTGTGGCTGAGCTTGGTGTGGTTGCGACCGTGCGTGCATCATCCGAAGGGGCCACAGGGGTAACAGGCTCTGTCTTCACATGGTTTGCCATTGTCGGGGCAGGTGGCAGTGCGGAGGCTTTGTTCTGAACAGGCGCAGCTACTTTGGGAGGTGTAGCTTTCTTGGTGGGTGCATCATTTTGTGTGTGCAGTTCACGTTTGACTGGGGCAGCTCCCTTTGGAAGTGCTGAAGGTGCTGGTACGGGCTGCGCTGGTACGGGCTGCGCTGGTACGGGCTGCGCTGGTATGGGCTGTGCTGGTGCGGGCTTTGCAGCAGGTGGCTGTGAGGGCATCGGGCAGGGTGCTTTGGCCGGTGCTGAAGGCTTTGGAACTGGTGCGCTCTTCTCAACAGCACTAGCACTAGCAACTTCCATTTTGATGGGCATCCCCGTTTTGCGGGCTGCTGGCATGGTATCACTGCGCTGGGTGGGACGGGCTTTTTTGTCCACATGGTCGCCCTCCCCGGGTGTCTTGGGTGTATTAACCACATCCAAAGAGTGGGTTGAAGTCCCCCGCACTGGTGTAGCATTCCTAGGAAACCAGCACATGTTTTACAGCATCCATCATTTGCAAAACAAATGTTGTTTGCATATAAAAGACATCAAGACACGTGCAGGGCTCCATACCCTCAAAAGATAAGGTTGCCCTAGTCAATCCCGGTGTTGGCTCCGTATATGGAGACGGCAGTTCCTGCCACAAAAGCTAATCAAAAACCACGAGAACAATCCTGCCAAAAGGTGCTGAAGCTGTGGTTTGACATCACCAACAGAGGCCTGGCTCTCAGACTGATCAGTAGTCCACGGAACAGTGGTTTGGGAATCCAAAGAACGGAGCTCGTCCTGGGGAGTAGTAGGTGATGCATACTGATGTGGTCGGTTGTAAATCATCCATGCAACCAAATCCATTCATGAAAACTGTGTTTCAACTCCTTCACAGCAACATATGGTGATGTCAACGTAGATCTTCTGGGAGGTGGTGTTTCCAACACACCGGGACGCTGGTCACCATCATCGGAATCCACCTCCAATGGGGCTTCTGGATTTTTGGATAAACATGACCTTTGGTTCAAAGATTATATATATATATATATGTTATATATATATATAACTTAAGGGAATGTTGTCCCCCGCCTTCAAGGGCTTGAGTGCACCCGGGTACTTTGCGAAGAAGTTTTGTATACGAATATGGTAAGGGACCGGTTTCTTTGCTGCCGCCTCCGCACAACATGCGAAAGGTATCCAGGATAGGCTAATTATATAAATATTGAAACAAGATTTCATTATATTCATAAATGGGGGAAAACAGTTTGAATTGTAGTCCCATTAATGGAGCATATTTTCCGAAGAACACACCGGTAGATTCCCCAAACATATGGCCTCCACAATTGTAGGTGCCACTTCATCATTGGTCGCCATGGCGGGTCCACCCAATCACATCTATGGGAACTCTGCTATTGACCTGAAATAGACGGTGATACATAAAGAAACTATGGTGGTATAGTTACATACCCTCAAACCCGATAATCCAATGGCAACATATCCCCAAACCCGATAGTCCAATGATCACATATCCCCAAACCCGATAGTCCAATGGGCTACATGTAGTGAAAAGTCTATCCGACGCTATCCGACGCTATCCGACGGTCGGGGCGTCGTTTCCTTTGTTTTTGAGGGGTCACGATAGCCTATCCGACGCTATCCGACGCTATCCGACGCACATCCCAGGTCGCCCATTGTCAGCCCTGTACTGTCCGATATCCCAATGGTACTGACAGGGTTCCAGGTTTGATTTGGGAGATCCTACAAAACCACTTATTTGATCTATGGTGGGGACCTGAGCAAATGAAAATCAATTGATGCTTTATTGATCACAGGGGTCATGACAGCATATCATTTCATTTCATGTGGAATCGTATACCCCCAAAACACAACTTTGTTTTTTTTTCAGCTGGGTTGCAGGCAGGCACCCTGGGATTCAAACGCAGTCTACAGTGCTCCCCCTCTATTGGAACATAATGGTTTGCTACCAGTGCCTTCTAATTGCATGATATCATTTCCGGAGGAGTAAAGCACTAATTGTGAGCTCGAACACAAGCTTTCTATTTGAAACCCTCATGTGAAAAAGACATCTATCGGGCCCGTCTCTTGCGGGAAGAGAAATTAGAGATAGCTCGCTGACCCTTCCGGTCGGCCAGAAGCTGCACCAAGAAATCTTCAACCTCGCCAAGCCTGAAAGGAAGGCAAATCAGCATCCAATGGCTCACCAGATTCCCATGATGAATAGCTATGTACATATATTTTAATTTTGATGCATCAATTGCAGAAAATAGGATCAAGGTGTTCCACCCACAAGTTAAAAACCCACTATTCAGGGCTGGCAAGGAGATTCCCCACGCAACACACCCATGGTTGTTTAATCACCAACAGATTATCGGATTGGTTAAAAAAATACATTCTTGTGATCTTGTGATCTGGGGTTCCAGGGTTCATCAGAGCCACTTGGCGTCATCCCATCCATCGGGGCTATAGTCAACCAAGTGATCTGGAGTGTTGACCTTGCTGGCATAGAGGTCAAAATTCAGAGCCACCTGAACGAGGCGTTAGTTAAGTGACAATCTATACTTATTTTCACTATTCAACTACGTTCCCCCGGTTTTATAATATATATATATATATGAACCACATCCGTTATCAATCCCCACGGCAACCAAGCCCAGGTTTGGTGCTGCACCACTTCAAGCACTTCATTCGAGCTGATAGTACGGGGCCCATTCAGACAGGGGCTGCGAATACAACCTTTCAAAACATGTTGCATGCATGAGTATGATATATATATATATAATATCTATATATAATACAGCTGAGGGGCATGGCGCCCGAATGCGGGAGGATATACCTGTGTAGCTTTGAGCCCTGGCCCGCCCTGGAATCTCCAATGACCTTCGGCATTCTGATATCGGATTGTTGTGGGCCCCCCTGGTCCTCCTCCAGGTTGGAACATGCTGCGGTCATACTTCCTGCGCATAGCAAAAGTCTTTGGGAATTGTGGTTAAGGTCCATGAACACAACTATACAGTAAATAGGTAAATATATACTTTGAACATCTTAGCCAAGTTAAGCCAATCGTTTGACATCAACATGTCCTGTAGAGGTGTTGGATAAATGGATCATTGCTGAACAACTTTGTTGGCTTTTGGGTAGCGGCGCCAAACATCCCCAATGACGTATGCACTTCATGAACAGCCCTGGCTGCAAAGAGGGCCGCGAGGCGGTCATGGAGATGCACCTAAGTAGCTAAGTATCTTCCGATATCTTCCGTTTGGTATCTGAAAATCTTGGAGCACACTTGCATACCGTTTAAAGAAATGCAGGCCAGGAACCAAGCTGGCCAAAGGGTTCTCCAACATCCAATGGCACCCCCAAAACAACGCAGCCATAAGTAACAATGTCACCTGAGAAGTGTGGTGCATGATCATATGCCGGGGCCAAACATCCTTTAAACATCACTGTCACCAACTAAGCATCATAGGTTTATTTTGCAAATGCCATATTTTGCTTGGATCACCTGAGGCCTTTACTCGGCTTATCATCAAATTTGCAGCTTGCACGCTGGGTACGCCCCTGGGTGGTGGCTGGATGGGTTCAACATGGCTACGTGGTTTTGATGACAATTTTCAATATGTGCGTATGGTAGGGTACCGGCATTCGTCCCATTGGTTGATCTCGGGAGCGACCACTTGTGCCTCCTGAATCTTGATTTGACCATGCATGACATCACTGTGCAACTATCATAAGCTGAAAGCTACCATGTTCAACGGACACTTTTTTTGAAACCGAGGATCGATTTATCAGGGTCCAGGAACTACACACGGGCCCACAAGATAGCAGTCCATGCTTGGCCATTGACAGCACCGAGATCAAGTGTCGGAGAAATCCACGGGGTGTTAGGATGTCCTGAATCAACAGCTTTCATCATAGCATGAACGTAGTTTTAAAATTGCATCGCATACAAGGTTATATATCCTTTCAACTACGGTGGAAAAGTCACACTTGACAACCAGCCCTACCCCTGCCAAGGTACATCAGCTTCATTGAGAACCAAATCCAGCCGGGCAACCCGGTGACCTCGCCCCCTGAAGCCCCGGGCCACAGCACCTTCACCACTGAAGTGGTCCACATTGAAGTACGCGTGGTCACCCTCCGGCAATTGGAAAGCCTTGCTGGAGGGAGCTAGTGGGTTCTATCTTAAGAGTTGCATATGGAGAGCCATTTATTATAGTCATGACTGTTTCAAAACACAAAGTACTTCTTTTTGTTTACCATGGCAAGTAGCATTCAGTATCATCTGTATGATCTGGAACAATCGAATTGGAACATACCCGGGGTGAGATGGCCCACGAACAGGCCGAGGGATTCGAAGAGGACGTTCTTCATCACCAGCATCGTCCCTTAGTTAGATCATATAGAGGGGCTTCCTAAAATGGGGGGAACCCTAAATCATGATTTTTATAGGGTTTTCCTTTATAAATAAATATAAACCATTGGTTTTGGGGTACCACCATTTTTGGAATCCCCCAATCATGCATCACAATAAGATGATTTAGACATACTTGACATGATAAACACTGCATGGATTGCATCTACCCATTTCATAATATTTGACATGTCTCAGTAGGCCAGCTGGTCGCTTCAAAAGACGTGGCGGCATCGCTCCCAAGGCTTGTTGGTGGTTGGTCCAAGCTGAAGCTGAAACTACCCGCAAAGGCCAGCAAATTGGGTCAGTGCAATCATCCATCCGGAATTGATTCATTGGGAAGCATTTCATGCAGCTCTATGACCAACCAAGTTACAGAGCACTTTTTTTTGTTCTCATCGCAAATGTCTCAGCTGCCACACGCGCACACGCACACTGCAGTCTAGAAACGCAGCATGGCCTGGCCAAACCCAAATTTCTTTCGGTCATGGGTTATAGGATTGGAACACAGCAGATGCATGCTTTCACATGCCATTGCCACCGCACGGCAAAAGGTTGCTCCCAAACAGACAAGGTTCTTATTTTCAAAATATGATTCCTTCAGCGGCATTGTTTTGATTGGTGGGGTGAGCAAACCGAATGTCTAAGTGCGGCATACCCCGAAAAATCCAACCCATGAGTCCACGTGGGGCTCAAAGCCTGGCTACCGTGATCCAAAAAAAAAGATTGTTTGAATTTAGAGTAGACATTTCATATCATGTATGACCATGTCTCTGAATCACCGTAGCTACACATGAGGGATCCTCAGCTTTCATCTGCGTCCCCGTCTTCTTCTACACTGTCCATGCCCCCGTCTGCAGTTTCCTGCTGTGGAGCTTTGCCATCCAGCTGGGGGGTCACTGTCTTTCGGCGAGGCCTTGACAAAAAGTTACCCACATACTCCTTGGGCACAACACCATAGGCCTGAAACATTGCACTGGCAAGTTGCGCAAACCTTTGGGCGCTGGTCAGATCTTCCTTGCCATGCAAAGCTTGGTATTTGCGGTAAGCATTGCTATAAACAGTACCCGAATTGACATGCTCAGGTGGTTTAATCGGGTCAACAATGCTTTCCAAAGGGGGAATCTCAACCTCAGTTTTTTTCCCACCCTTGGGCTTCTTGACACGGTCAGCTGAGTCAGCTGCATCACTTTGCTTAGCCTTTGGCTTAGCAGATTTGGCAGTGTCAGCTTCACCAGTTTTGGCTGCTGTCTTTCCCCTTTGACGCTTGGCCGGTGGTTTCTCCAGTGGTTTCTCACTACCCTCTGGGCCATCTGTAGCAGTGTCACGTTTCTTTCGCCCCTTGGTTTTCCCGACGACTTCCCCCTGCTCAGCGAAAACTGCAATTTGTGGGCTTTCAAGGATCTTCTTCATTTCGTCTCCGAAGTGAGCACCGTTGGAGCCATATTTATACCCCTGAGACAGACATCTAACATCATCTAACCCCTCATCCAAGTGTAATGGCACATGAACTTGCCTTGACATCTTGTGTTTGATTCTCAGCGTAACCAAACAACCCTGATGCAGCCAAGTTGCTTGGTGGCCCTTGTCCTCCGCAGGCAACTTGTCAATGACGGTCGGCTTCGAAGGCGCTGGAGCAGCAGGGTGAACCTCAAGGCTAAGGGACGCAGATCTATTATCAACAAACCATTTAAGGAATACGGGAATACCATGACTTTTCATTATATATATGTATACTGTATACACAACGGGATTTGCTCATATGAGATCATATTGGTTCATCCTAGGAACGGTCTCTGAGGGCGCAGATGCTGCAGGCATAGCTGGACAGTCCTAGCACAAGATAGGTGTGGGTCAGCCACTCTTGGGTTTACTAATGATTTGTTTGACGAATCAACCCCATCCACCATATATCACTTACCATGGTGTCCTTCGGTGGCTTGCATGATTCCGGACCATCTTCGGGTTCCGTTGGAGTCAGCACTTCTTCGTTTCCAGGGATCAGTGGCAAGGGCTCAGCTGCAACCTCAGCCAGCTAGTATTTTTTCCAAAGGATTGGCTATGTTGAATCCGTTAAGCTAGACATTGTAATGTTTAATAGGGGTCCACCAATAAAGCAAGTTCAGTAAGCAAAAGTAAAAGTGTTGCAACTGTCCTGACCAAAAAACCTCTTCCATGGGAGCCGGTTCGTGTGAAGACAACCTCTTGGTTATTTCATCAGTAACTTCGACACCACGCAAAAACAAGCTCCGAAGTTTTGCCACACGGCGGATGCCTACAGCAACCCCCATTCAAAACAAAACCATGAGGAATTCTCATTGACTGTGGGCATGTCATACTATAGATACATCTATTGTATATGGCATATGGTTTGAGTCCCTGACAATCCTGGGTCAACTCCGTGTTGGCCCATTCCATTTGGAGACACTGTTCAAGCATGGACATGGCCCACTGAGGATCCGGAATCGCAGACACCATCTCTTCCATAGCACCAGTGGAGGCCGGGTTGAGCTGGGCCACGGAACTACCTGGTGGTTCCTGGCAAGTGTTGTAAAATGGGTTGTACACTCATCCATGCAACTTGAATCATTGAGCTAAGTATATAATGTATTCATATATACGATTATTCGAATATATATAGTTGTTGAATGTAGTATCACCTATACAGGTCCTGCTGGGACTTCTGGGGCTTTTCATCACCAGACTCATCGCTGATAGCCCAAAACGCATCATCATCAGGCTTCTTCTCACAAGACACCTCCTGCGGAGGTTGATAGGTCTGAGGTTTTGTGCATAAACGATTGCTTTAAGACTATATATAGACATGTGGTGAACAAACTGAGGAAACATTGGCGGAGGTTGATGGGTCTGAGGTTTTGTGTTTAAATCGATTATATCCATATATTATATGACTATATAAAGGATATGAGGTGAACAAACTGGAGAAACATAGCATTGTCTCCTGCTCCTCAGCCAATCGCCACTGGGATTCGACGAAGGGTTCTGCTTGCACCTAGCCCAGGAGTGAAATATGAAAAGCTATATGCATATACGAAAACATATGTGCATTCCTCATATTTCCAACCCCGGATTTGCAAAGTTGAAATTACAACGATCCTACCCCTTGGTGTGGACTTCAGCCCACCTCTTGTCCTGGCAAGGCTGGCGCAGCAGCAACGGCAGACGACTCACTGCCTTGACACAATGATGGGAGAAAAAGAGAATATATGGGGCAGGGCGCTTGTGACAGTCAGGGTCCAGGGCACCTTGAGCAGCATAGGTAGCATAGCAACCAGCAACCCGGTGTGAGATAAATTGAATATCATCATCACCCACATCAGCCACAGAAGAACGTTCACCTTTTTTTTTTGGTCGAGCTTTGGCAGGGTTTGGGCGCATGATGTTGCGGAGGGTCTTTGCAACCTGAGATGTTTGAACACTTCCATGGAAAGGAATGTTTGTTTCATTCATTGCATTAAGAATGCGCTTGTATTGTCAACTAAGAAACAGGTGTTTGGGTGTTCCTGTCCACCGCTTTTCTCCAATACCTTCTTGCAAAACTCATCAGGCCGAAAAGGGCGTCCGCTTCCTTAAAACATGACAAATCGAAACACTAATGAACGCAACACAACACTGCGAACATGCACGCACGCGCACAGAGAACTTTGTGCAGACAAAAATCATCACCAGCCCATTTCTTGCGTTCACGTCGCGTTTTCCCTTTCGAAAGCGCGTTCTCGGATTCTTCATCTAGCATCACAAAGGCTTGCTGGAAATTTCCATACGTGTACTCACCTAGGTTCATTCTTGGAAAATGTAAAGAGAAGCAAGTAATAAAAAACAAATTCAAACATCTTGCGGTGTATTAAGCTGAGCAGCATTGGGGCTTGTTTTCGGCCAGCATGGAGATCAGTTTCAGGTAAGTATTCACGTCGTTGTAAGTAATGGCTTGGATATTCGGGATCTTTTGGAAGAGTGTGTTGAAGGGTTGTTTTTTCGAAGCGCACACTATGAAAGCATCAGCTGGAAGTGTAGCTTTCAAGCAACCTTGGACCCCCATTCCCACAGGTGCATTCTAAATCTTGGCATACCAAACATGTGATCATATAAAAACATATGCCGAGGAATGTCGAGGCTTATATAAGGTCAAGGTACAAATGACCATTTCAACTTCTTCAGCCATCGGTCAACGACAGCACACGGCCGAACGTGAAAGCTAGGAAACCCTTTGAAATCAGGCTGCAGGAAAGTATAGGTTGGAGCGAATTCATGCGAGTTCATGCGGTTTCATCCAAACTGAAAAACCAAAACGTGTGCAGGATCCATACTGCAACAAACATTGGCATGGCAAAGGGGGGCTCTGTCCTTGAACTCGCGCACGTCGCTTCATTGCTCCCACAAAACATTTGCTTCCAAGAAGCAACAACGTGACTTTGATTGAATAACATATGGATATATTTTGAAATATTGATATCCATTATGTTCATATTCCATGATGTCACTATCTTTGAAAATCATATATTGACATGAGTTTGAGCCCATCAGCTACCATCAAATTATCATGACCCCTCGCGGGCCCTCATCCTTTCAGATTGAAACCCCTTGAGGGGGCATGCCCCCTCCTCAGCACATACCTTTCATGCGGGGTGTGCTGATGACACTCCGCCCTGTCATGGTGAGACCCCTTGGATCCTTAGGGATATATATATTTGCAGACAGTCCAGCACCAGAAATTCGCTCACTTTACACAACAGATTGAATTGAATACCCCATTCAGTGGCCCTGCTTTTTGTTCCGTTCGGTCGAATGCTGCATTGCCCGTTTAGCCAGCAGATTGAAGGAAATCAGACAGTTGCGTTGGGTGGGGATACATCCCTTGACAGCCTCAACATTTTTGGATCCAGAAGTCAATCAACTTGCACTGCCAAGCGCGCGTTTTGCCATTGCACCGGCCTTCCAGTCCCTGCGTCAGCCGGGATGCCCAGTCAACGTGGAACCAGTTCTACAGAGCAGGTGGTTCTACAACTGGCTGCATTGGAAAGATCGATTGAACGATTCGGGTGGAAATCACAGCCCTGTCGTTGATCACTTTGGAATGTAGGAGGTGCACGCATTTCCCATTTGATCACGCATGCTTGAATGGGAACAGACGCGCAGTAATTAATCATTTACGCTTTGCGTATTGGCTGGGTATTCATCATTGAAATCCGACCAAATTTTCGAGTCAGAAAGGCAATCATTTTGAAGGGAATCAACAGAAAATAGATGAAAATAGATGATGAAAGAATGGATGAAGCCACACTTGTCCTGACGGGTGCTTGCTAAGGACTGAACCCGCCAAGCAGAGCCTCCTTTAAGCGTTTTTGCTGTTGACCTCAGCCGGAGCCCGAAACCAATTCTTGGCGCAGTCTTGACCAAATTCTTGAGACACAAAACTCAGCATTTGACGACAAACCCAGTGCTTGTCCTGAAATGGCTGCTGCCTCGAAGTCAAGGCAAGGGCTCATTGGACCCGCCAAGTAGAATCCATTTCGACTGTAGTTGCTGCTGGCGTCAGCCGGGGCCTGAAACAGGTTCTGTCGTGGTACAGTTTGCTCAACAACAGGATTAACTTCACAGAGGGCTGAAGGGTTGCTGCCTTCACTATCCTTCAATTACCTTGCCAAATCTCTTTTCGATCGCGTTTAGGTCTCACAATGGGCTGCCGCATTAGTCGTAGAAGAACTGCCCAGGCGGGGAGAATTCCATTCAGCTCCGGGATAAGGGGTTTGGCTCAACTTACATGGCACGGCATGTCTTTTTTCACGCGCGTCAGATCTTGAAGCCTGCACAGCAAATCAGCACACCCGAAAAAGTGTCAACATATTTATGATATAAATGCATCCCCGTGGCAATTTCCACTCTAGAACTGGTGAACCTGTGCATAGTTTAAACGATTTTTTTAACGCATTCGAATTTTAAAATTGATGTCAGGCTAGTCATTTTATTGTTGGGGGGTTGGGCTAAGCAGCTTCACATAATGAATTGGCATCCCGATATAAATGCTTGAAATATACACAGACATGAAAACTGATTGGTCATAGTTGTAGACATGTATGCATATTCAAGTTTCCAACACGTTCACTGGCGGTCGATTGTTTCCAGGACATGTTGCTGCCGCTAACAGCGAGCAACTTGGATGGCCCTAAGACTGCCCAGACCGAGGCAGAAAACGACTGTGAATGGCACATCAAGACGAATTCCTGCAGCCGTTCAGCTGCAACTCGGTCTCAACCTCCCAGCTTGGCAGATACCTTTCCTCCAAGTGGAGATGGACCGGCCCTTCGCATCAAGTGCAGAACAGGGAACCAGAGTGGAGATCGAGGCTCATATCGCTGGGCACAGTTGCTTGATTTGTCTGACATTCCGGTGATAATTATTTCTAAAGATGGTATCTAGACTGTTCGACCGTAAAGGCGCGTTCTCGCCCTTCACACTTTTGAGATCTTTTGCGGCATTTGTATACTTCCGGAATCAAGCGGACAACAGCTTCAAACCAGATCAAATTCTGGCGTCCAAATTCCCTGCTTGCGACCTATGCAACTTGGACACCACTAATCTATACTAATCTAAA